AGAGAGAGAGAGAGAGAGAGAGAGAGAGAGAGAGAGAGAGAGAGAGAGAGAGAGAGAGAGAGGCACAGACTAAAGAGACAGGAGAAGGCAGACAGAATGACAGAAAGGTGAGTAAGTGGGAGCAATAATTCAGTTAGCTCTGATAGGTCAACCAAACCGCCGATCCATCAACTAGGCCAATCAGATTATGGTATCGACATTCTACCATACAGCGGGCAATGTTTCCATTCGCCATGACCTTCTGTGTATGTGTATGTGCTGCAAGACAGGATTAGCCATTAAGCTGTTTTTGAAAACAAAACAAAACATGGACACACATTAGCCTAGTGTGAGTGTACGTATGTGTAGGGGTGTGTGTGCGAGTGTGTGTGTGTGTGTGTGTGTGTGTGCGTGCCTGCTTCTTTCATGCAGTTTTCAATAGATCAAGAAGAACAGGAACAAAAACACCTTTAACAGACTTTACCAACTATTCAAACATTAAAACGCAAAACAGCAGGAGTACCCAAAACTACACAACAAAAATATTCATTTCATGCACTCCATGTAACTTTATCCTGTATTTTATCTTAAAATAAACTGCTTTTCATGCTGCACATTTGAACCTCTTACAGCCGTGTAAACAGAAGGAAGCCACACTCGAATCTGACTTGTCCCTGCTTAGACAGGAAACATTTCTTTCCAACCACACACAGTAACACACTACCATCATCCGGTTATGATTTATTCAGATGCAGCACCACAGTGAGACCAAGTACAAGGGTCTGGAGTTGTCGACATTGCTAGTTGTACGTCCTATTAGCAGGCGAATGATGCAACTGTGGTGAAGGAGAAGGGAAGATAACTTTAGTCCAGTAACTGTGTGACAAATGGACACGTACAGAAGAATTCTGGTTTGTTTTGACATTATCCTTACTTGTAATAAGTATATTAACTGAAGCTAAACACCAGCCAACGTGAGCAGATAACTTAACAACTAGACTCCAAAGAATTAAGAACTAACTTCTAGCTCCTCCTCTCCCAAATCCTTTTCGTCTCTCTTTCTTGTCCCTCACTTCTACGTCACCTCCTCTCTTCTCCTCCCCTCGTCCCTCTCTTTATGTCTCTCTCTCTATCACTGTGGGTGCCAACCAGAAGTTACCATAGAGACCAAGATGGGCTCCTACGTTACCATGGAAACTGTGGGCTGCAGCCGCAGACACTCTCTCACACACACACACACACACACACAAGAACACAAACGGATGACACTGATCAGTATTGTACCAAGAATATCCACAGCACATAGTCCTAATTACTACTCTTCTATCAGCATCCAGACTTCCTATTGTGTGTCTGTGTGTGTGCACATGTATACCAGTGTGTTGTTTGTGTGTGTGTGTGTGTGCACTAAACAGTGTGCGCTCTGTAAATGTGTGTTTATGGCTGCTCCAGTCATCGATGTCATATAGTTACTTACCACTCAGCACCAGTTGATAGCGTTTAACCGAGTCCTCTGTGAGACGGCAGTGTGTCATTCTGTCTCTCTGCACGGGCCTTTGGGGCTAATAAAACTTTCATTGCTATGTAAAACATGCCACACTGTTGGCTGTGTAAGATCTGTAGTAAAATGCAATGCGTGGTTTATGAAACATGTGCAGTTTGGCAGTGGATTAACCATCCTACAGTTTCAGTGAGTTGTCATTTTTAACTTCAACTCGCAGAACAGGACACAAAACTGCTTCACTGAAAAAACAACAACTGTCTGTTATATTTAGTCTCATTTATGTCAATGAAAATAAAGAGCAATTCTGTTTTTATTTTTTTCAAACTACATTTTAGTCTAATCTCATCTACAGTATTACGTGTTGGTGTTTAATGACGTCGGTGCCGTCTCGTAATTGTCTCGTCTTAGTCACAGAAATGATGGTTGTTGATGTATTTAATAGAACTTTGGGGTTAAGTTTTGGGTCAGTGAACAAAGATTAGCCTGTATTTTTTTCTGTTGTTTTAATTGCTGGAGCATGGAGGATAAATAAAGATGTTTAATCAAAGCTGACAATACGCAAGAGAAGAGTTGCAGATTAATAATGTCTCATTATCTTGTGATGTGAAATCCACAACAGCGTCCATAGGTCACTGTCTCAGTACTTAGACAATCTTCTAATGTGGGGAGGAATGGACGTCTCTTTGGCACACACCTACGACGGAGCTTCTTTAAGTAATATTAATCTCTGATGTCACCTTGGGTTGTGAAGCCTGGTTGTATTGTCAATCATCGTTGTCAGTTGCCTGGCGCTCTGTGAGTAGGAAATGAAAAATGTGTTTTCTTCTCTCTCCACTCGCTCTCACGGCATGGAGAAACAGGTCTCAGCGCATGAATAAAGCATGAATACACAGGAAGTAACAGGTACGGTGTTCGCCATTAAAAGCCAGTGGCTCAACCTAAAGCGTAATACCGCTTTAAA